TTGTGCCCCCAATCCTTCCCCACTTTCAGAGGCCTGTGTTTATACATCTTTATCTCTCTCTTTTTTTTTAATATTTATGTAAAAGAGGATGGCTTTGCCCTATTTTCAGATGAGTCGCAACAACTCTGAAAGCTCCGAGGACACAACCTGCTTATTTTTACAGGGGGAACAGCAATACAGGAGAGCATGTTCCCCACTGTTCATCATGATTTGAGCGTTGTCTGGTTACACGGCAGTGTGCAGATAAGAACTGTCTTGTCTGAAGCCCTTCTAGTGAACAGGAGCAGAGGTAGCGGAGGTTTTGAGCCTCACAGCCAGACCTTTCACTGGAGCAAAGGGAAGTTTGGACATTCCCATGCAGAGGTAATGGAGGAGGGAGGAGGACCATGCAAGCTCCTGCAGTGGGTCCTGCAGAGGAGCCACACACATTTGTTTAAGGGGTGGTGAATGCAGTGGAATTTCTCTTTGCACCCAGGCAGTGTTCAGGGTTCGTGTGCTTTGTGCCAGTCCACTGGCTACGGCTGTCTCCCGCAAGAGTAATTTGGGAAAATATAAAAGTGGCCAGACTGAAGGCTCACCTAGCTTCTACTAGAGGTCAGCACAGGTGGCTGGAGATGAGCTGAGCTTGATAAGGAGGTCATGATGCTGCCAGGCATCCTGCTGCTGGCCGTCTCTGTCTCGGGACCTTCTTGAGCCAGCTGTGGGACTGCACACCGAGAGGTGGCTGTACTGAGTGCACTGAGGGGGCAAACGTCCTTGTCTTTTTTTAATTATGTTAAGAAAGGGGAATAGTGTAAGATAGCATTGTACCACTGAACCCTGCAATGGCTAAAAAATATGCCCAATTCCTCAGAAAGGGCAAGGGAAAGAGATTACTATGGAAAGATAAGGGTAAGAATTAATTTCAAAAAAATCATTCTTAAGGCTATGCTGAAGGCATGCTGAAATATGAAAATCTTTGGCTATGGGGAAAGAGAAGGAAATACCTAGAACTGTTGCAACAATGCATGTGCTAAGTTTAGAACATCTTTAAGTCATCCTCACTTTCTGGAATTAGGTTGTGCAATTTTTTTCTAGCAAATAAATGAGTTTTGTTTTTAATGAAGAAATGTTAAATCTCCCTTATATTTCACTTTGAAAGAGCTATAAAAGTGAAATGTGGAACTCATTCTTCCATGTCAATGATTAGAAGCCTAAAATACATCTGTTCCACATGAACAACTGCAGACTTTGCTTTCACAGAAGAATAGCTATATTAGTACTTTCTTTAAATGTATTCCTGTTGATTTCATTCCTGTATTCTAACTTGTAAAGTCAGAAAAATGTCACAATCTTGATTAAAATCAATTTCACAGTATCCAGATGTTAAGAAAAAATACTTCATTATTAAGCTAAGTCTGTGTGTTTAACTAACAGTGATTTTGTTTGAGAAGTATCAAGGCTCACAGCTAAACTGTTGCTGCAAAAACAGAGAAGCCTCATCAGAGTTTCAAAGTAATTGCATAAATATACTGCCTGGACTTATGATCTCATTTACAGCTGTGGAAGAGCTTTTTGGGGGGCTCTATTTGACTAGCTGCAGATATTTACTCCTGGAGCTCTTGCAGTATCCAGCATGTGTCAAATTAGTTTTCAGAATGTGGATTACTGGTTAACTTTTCCTCCAGAATAGTAAGTATCTCTCTTAACTCCTGAGATCTAGGTAGGGTTCAAAATTATTAGGCGAATTTAAGCTTTTGAGAATGAGTTATGAAGGTATTTTAACCTGTGTTGTGAATTTATGTTTAAATTCCACTACTGTTCTATTGGAATTTTGCACTGAGCTCTTGAGAGCAAGGATAATTTATGTACAAGGATGCCTTAAAATAAGCCTCCGTAATTACAAAAATGCAGTGTTTAAATTTATAGTAAAAACCCACACACTGCTGGCAAAACTATAACTGCATCTGGAAAACATTAAGGATGCTATTAAAATAGTCTAGCATAAACTAGAAATGAGACTGAAATTACAGTGTTGCTTACTTAACCATTTTTAGGAAGTATATTTTGAATACGATCTACTTTCCTATTTGATTTTTTTGATAAAACACCATGTTGTATCTTGTTTACTCCAGAGAATGAGTTGTGTTCTCTGTTATCTATTCTAGAAAACCCATAGCTCAGATTTTTCAGTCTTCTTACAATCACTGATATTTTAAAACATAAGCAGGTGGTTGTTGGTCTAGCCATCAGGGAAGAAGTAACAGGGAAATCTTGAAGGAGAAAAAAAAATCACAGGAATTAAAGATTTTATTAAAAAGATGAAATGTTTTCAAACATTGAAAAATTACGTTTTTATAAAAACAGAAATAGGCAAAATACCCATTTGTCTTCTATTTACATATACAATATTTCTCACTGTATAAAATTATTTACAATATATAAAAAAATTACAGTAAAATAGGTTATTTTCTTACAAGACATCAAGCCCTGTACTTCTAGTGTAGATCATGGCAAACAAGAATATTATTGCACCTGTGAAACAAACAGTCTAACAATAGGAGTGTTCTCTTAGCCATGCCTTCAACTGAGATCTAAAATAACATCGGTAGCTACAGTAACATTCATTTAATCTCTTCTAGGGTCAACTTCAGGCAGTTTCCATACAAACATTGTCTCATAAAGCTTAGGACTGGGCAGTTAGAATCGGAAAAAAAAACATATTTACAGCTTCTATACAATCTGTATGGAGTCTTATGGAGTTTACCCTTCACAGAAGCTGCATAAATAACCCCTATTCTCCTGAATGGAACGGCAGGTTCACTGATACAGTCACGTCAAATTCTCTGCAGGAGATGACTGGCTAAGTCTCCTTGTGTCAAATCCTCCTCGGCTTCCACTGCTAGAGTGTCGGTGCCTCCCTACGTAGTACCAGCTACAGGTTTTTAACAATTCTGCACCTGAGCAGTTAAATAGCGTCCACTGTTCGCAGGTCAGAGTCTCTGGGGCTACATGTGCCGTTTCATGTGCAAAGCCAGGTGGTCTGACCTGGAGAACGCTCTGTCGCAGAGGTGGCACTGGAAGGGCCGGTGGCCGGTGTGCTTGCGATAGTGACGGGTGAGCTCGTCAGAGCGAGCGAACTTCCAGCCGCAGCCTTCCCAGTTGCAGTGATAGGGCTTTTCACCTGTTGGAGAAATCACAGAGACTGTGACTCAGCACGGCACTCCCACATACAGACAGCATCACACGCTAGGCAACTTTCTGTTTTTATCTCAGCATATCCTTTTATTTCCTACCAGGCTCTCTGCAGTAAGCTCCAAGTAATATTAAGCCATGAGACTACTCTAGCAATTCCTTTACTATCCTGTACCTTCACTGAGTCTTCTGAGAAAGGGCATTGTACAATATGAGCCCTTACAACAGCTTTGACCCACATATGCATTGGAAAACACTTGGATATTATAGGTCTGATCACCTGTCACAGCCCAACAGTTAAACTTTTTGGAGTTTAGAGACTACAGGGTTAAAGCTCAGGCTGCGCTCTGCATGCAAACTGTTTTACACAGGTGGCTATCCCAACCCGCAAGCAACGTATCTACGAATGAAGCATCGAGCTGTATTTACCTGTGTGTGTCCTGAGGTGGGCCTTCAGGTGCGAACTCTTGGTGTAGGTCTTCCCACAGCCTGCGTAGGTGCACGTGTGAGTGGCTGTCCTCTTCCGAGGCCAGGAGCGCCGTCCTCTTTTTGGCTTGGAGTCCAGCAGCTCCAGAGGCGAGGAAGGAGGGGTGAGCATGCCTCTGGGAGCAGAGGGTTGTAAGGGCAGGCTGTCCTCGAAAAGGCCAAACTGGGAGGTGTTCTGGTACTGGAGATGGGTCTGCGGGTGGTGGAAGCCGGAGCCTGGGTGGTAGCTTTGCTGGAAGGACACGGACGAGGTGCACATCATCTGCGTGTGGCAGTCACTCACCATGAGATCATCTGGGCTCAGCGGGGGCGTCTCTGCCCCAGGGATTTGGGGAGAGCTGGCCACCCGGGGCTGCTCGTAGGCCATCATGCAGGTTGCGTTGCCCTCCTGCTTGATCTTCGGGCAAGCCTGGGGCACCAGACCCATGACTGGCCCATAATTGTCCATGTCAGGCTCGGGCTTAATGTTCTCGACGAACTGCGGGCCCCCGAAGCTGGGCGTCACGAAGAACCGCCCGTGGACGTTGCCAGGTGGGCAGTAGTTGGAGTCCATCTCGGAGCGGATCATCTCCGGCATGAGGCCGGCGTTGTAGGGCGGAGGGCTGCCCTGCTCCAGGGCACTGTAGCATCCCGGGGACGGATTTGTCTGGTAAAAGCCGCTGCTCTCCCCTTGCGTGGGGGGATAGTCCCCGCCGGCAGCGCCCTGGCCGTAGCCGTCGCTGCCCATGGAAAGGATAAAATCCAGCACGTTGTTGAGGTCTTCATCCTCTTTGCGAGGCGAGAGGCTGCCCCAGGTGCCAGCGGGGGCCTTGGCCTCCTGGTCGCACTTCCACCTCTGGGGGAGAAAGAAAAGGCAGAAGGTTAGCGGCGCTGTTTGGGGAACACGGAGGGGTTTGGAGGGCTGCGGGCTTAGGGAGCAGCGGGGCCGCGGCACCGCCGCGCACCCCTGCGATGAGCGGCGCCGGCCTCAGCGCGGCGGGGCCGGAGGGGGCTGCTGGTGGTGGTGGTGGTGGTGGTGGTGGGGTGGGCAGGGGCCGGACTCACTTCGTGGAGGGCTTTCTCTCGGCAGGGGCTGGCGAAGGTGGCGAAGGAGGGCAGGATGGTGTCGCTCAGCGCCATGGTGCGGCCGGGCGGGACGGCGGACGGCGCGGCGCGGCGAGCCGCCCTCCCCACCTTATAACGCGGGCGCGGGCGCCCTCAAGCCAATTGCAGGGAGCGGAGGAAACGCGTCCCGGACGGGGCGGGCGTGAGGCAGCGGCTTGAGCGCAGCCTAAATTTAGCCCCGGTATAAAAGGACGCGAACAGCTCCAACCGAGCCCGAACGGGGCGGAGAGGGGCGGAGCGGGGCCGTGAAGGGCCCACGCGGGCCCCCCCCCCCCCCCCCCACTCCCCCCTCGCCGCTTCTCCTCAGCGCGGGGTCCGTCGGTCTCGAAGCCGGGACCCCCGCCTCGGGTCGCTGCCTCCGGCTGGGGTCGGCTCCAGGGACCGCTGAGAGTTTCTTGCCCTCGGGACCCCCCCGAGCTGAGAGGACCCTGAGGGGACTCTGCCCTCGGGACCCCAGAGCTGAGGGGACCCTGCCTCCCCTGGGGACGCTGAGGGATGAGGGGCCACGGAGGGTGTTCCTGTCCTGGGGACGCTGAGGGGACTCTCTGGGACATGAGGGGACGCCAGTGGGTCTGTGCTCCAAGTGACACTGAGGGACCTGCTGTGAAACAGGGAACACTCCCTGCCCCATGGATGCTGGGGAAGGTGTGAAAGAGGGTTTTGATCCCCCCACCTCACAGCAGCTGCCCCACAGCCTGGCCTCATCCCTGGGCTGTGCCCCAGAAAAAGAGTTTGAGCTGAGTGGGAGCAGGAGGTGCAACAAGCACAGCATGGGATGCACAGCACCGGTCACCCTCCAGCCTCACAGACCCACTTCAGTACTGTAGGACAGTTTTTTTGCACCACTCGCAAGCGGTCTCCCTGCGAGGAAAAAGAAGCTGGAGACTTGCATTTAATGGAAGCTCGGGTCTCTAGCGGAGTTTCCATTTGCTGCACAAAGATTGCCAAAATCAACGTTTCCTTATGACATTATGAGAGAAATAATGCAAGTAGCTTCTGTGATCTGCTTTGTCTGTAGCCAAATTATGGTCCTGGGCTGAATTTTTTCGAAGGGAAGGACTGTTCTTCTCCCTTACCTTGGCCTCTAGCTCGGATGCCCAGTCAGAAGGAGCTATTCTCCAACAATTTTTGCTAATGTGGCTCAGACTCCTGTTTTTGAGAATCACAGCTGCTTGGCAGCCAGCCAAGACCAAAACAGCAAAAGTGGCAATTCTGAAATTGGGGAAAACGACGATCTATCACAGGATAGACCGATTCTTTGAGAGCCTGTTCAGAGAAAGAGCCATGCTTTCCCTGTACCTCCTCCATATTGCAATCACTTCTGAAAAGATTTCTAAGTGAGCTAGAGATCAGAAGAGTGTGGGAGAACAACTCTCACTTTTATATGCTGTGTGCCCCGGGAGAGGAAAAACGATGGCCCTTGATGGGTTCTGGTTCTCAGAAACATTTTGAACATGTTCACTAGAGCCCATCCCAGGCTTGTGGCTGTATGCAGCCATCTCAGGAAAGCACAGTTGCTAGGGTGAATAAATGATCTTTTCAATAGCTACACATGTTTTAAAATAATGAATATCTCTTGTATAACTTTCTATAGTTTTTATTCTAAAAGTTCACAGGATGGCCAGGAGGAGCAGCCAAACTTCTGTGACTGGAGCAGAATCAATACACTGAATGCATGGTAACGAAGTACACAAAGATGTATGACTCATAGCTATGTAATGTCACACTTGTGTAATCTTTCAATGTAAACTCTTTTCCTCTAATAAAATGTTAGTAAGTGTACAATACGTATATATGGTGCTGTGAGTCAGCCAAGAAAATATACTCAGATGAATTCCGAATGAATGTGAATGTTCCCTTGATAACACACCCTGAATGTCTGTGTCAGTTTATGTGCTTGTGATTTCAGCAACAGCTATAACAAAATATTTTGTTTCTAGGATATACAACTGTATGTGTACATTTCACTGAGAAGTCTAGTCAGATGCTGACTGCTATTAGGCACTGAAAGGACGTTTGCTGGTAGCCCTGCACTGACTGTCAGCCTAACTGTCATGTTTTTTTCTATGCATAAAGGAAATGTTTAGTGGGTAGTGAGGATGAAAGCCAAATTAATGAAATAATCATTTAACCGCCTTTAGTTTCTTTTTGTTTTCCAATAAAGCTGCAAAGCTAAAAAAATGTTGCTATATTAAACTTGGTAAGATGAATGCGAGAATTTATTTACGTTGTGAGTCACTAGTTCTGTACAAATTGAGTACAACGTTGCCATGACCTTCCACTTGGTTTGTGGTTGTGCTAAATTTTCTGACTTTTTTTTTTTTTTTTCCCTGTATGCAACGTTTATTTAAAATATCTAAAATCGAGACTCTGGCACTGATCTCACTTACGACAGCATAGATCAGGAGTGATGCCACTGGTGTATAAATGTGAAGAATGTGAGATTAAAAGGTATTTGTTAATCTGCTGTGGGTAGAGGAGAACTAAATGAAGTGTGATTTGTCTTTCTGCCAAAGTAAACACAGGCTCTACCATTTTTGTATGACAAAGTTGATTTTTATAGGTGTTGCTGCTGATCTCTGTTGTTGCTTTTACATCAAGAACTTTTGAAGGGATTGTAGTCAAGATTCCACAAGTTAATAAAAGATTCAGAGCTGGGGCTGTGTGATGAACTGCACCTTTGGTGAAACTGCAACTGGATCAGTTGGTGAGAATACCCACGTCACCTGGCTTCTAGAGCATTCTGAGTCATTGCAGAACTCAAATAAACAAACAAAAGAAGCTCTCCTTTCTCATGAAATTGTTCTCAGAAAGCCCTGACTCGCATCTAGAGCTAACGTAATAACAGCAGAGTAAACAAGATGAGAATTAGACCTCATAGAACACTGTTCAGAATTGCAGTGATAGTAATGCTATGACCAATCACTACATATTTAAATGAGGCAAACATTATCATAGGATTTCTGTCTGCCCGTATCTTTATCTCAGATTGCCATAGTTCTGTTGACTCACAAGTTTTTGGTTAATTCAAACTTCAGATTCTGAATGAGTACTTTTAAAAGTCTAATCTCAAAGAAGAAGTTGGTAAAATGATGTAAACAACCACATAAAATGAAATATATAGGTATTTTTAAGATAGGCATCTCATAATTCCAGAACAGTGATTTAATCCTGTAAGCCTTTTATTTAATTAAAGTAACATCACAAATTAATTTGATAAAGGAGCCTTTTTGACCAGACCTTTCATGACTGGAGTTTGTTCCCATACAAAAACTTAAATGTTCACCTTCATCTTTTTGATAACTTTAAGCTGATGGGGCTCATGAGGCTTTTGATACAACGTATTTTCCTTTATTTATTTATTTATTTATTTATTTGTGATTCTCCTCTGAACTGTGTGCATATTTTCAAAATCTTTCTTGAAGGTTGAGCACCAGGAACATGAAGCAGCACACAAATGTGTTACCCCTCTTTAGCCGAGGACTGCACTTGTGCATTTCCAGTTATGGTATTGCACTGGAAGCTCACAGGTGAGTGACTTTCACAAAGCCCTCCTCTCTCCCACCTCCTTCACGGCACCTCAACTTCCCAGCCAAGGGTACCACCACCATGCAAATATGCTCAGCACTCAGTGCTGGCTCAAGGCTTTTCAACTGGATTTAGTTTTGGTGACACCAGAATATATGGGGCACAAGAGAAGACTGAAAAGTAGAAGAGAGCCCTGGGTGGGAGTGATGGGGGGACCATGTTGCAGGGCTGGGAGGCATCATCAGAGGCTTGGAGCAACTGGGAGGAATCCAGCTTATTAAGGCTGCACAGAGAAGAGGTGAAGACTCTGTGTGGGCAGCAGCTGGTGTGTTGCCCTTACTTCCTGTAAGAAAAGGTACCACTAAAAGAGGCATCTCAAAGCAGCCATCTCTAGCAGGGCAATTTTGCTGCCATCAGTGTTCTGTTGGCCCGGGTAACAATCTGGTTTTGCCTATGCCAGAAAGCAGAGCTGCCTGCGTTTTTAGTTCCTAGAAGCTTTAAAGCTTCTCTGTATGGCCATGCATGGTGTTTATTTCTGTATTGATAGTGAAGCAGTTATAATAATTATTAAACAATAGCATGTCCTTCTAATTATATAGCACTTCCTTGATCTTTGTCATCTAAGACTTTATCAGTAGCAGTTTCTGTTTTCTTCCAGGTCATTGTTAGCAATGTTGAATTGTAAGTGACGATAAAAAAGATCAAGAACTAATAAACCTGCTTGATTAAAATTAAATTAGATTTCAAGATGTATCAGCTTGTGTTTGGACCAATTTGCGTGTGCACACCATATTGATTTGTCATTTTCTTGTTTCTTATTGTGAAAATCATATTGCATAAGGCAAATCCTTACAGAGATTTGCTTGTTACATCAGCACTGCTGCCTTATTTAAAACACTGTCAAAAGCCATTGTCATTAGCTAAACTAACTCTCTTTATTTATGATTCTTTTTCTGTATTAAGTCCTTCCAGTATTTTGCCCAGGTTTATATAACACAGATGAGCCTATGTGGGTCATTCTGTTTACCCTGTTAAAATATTGACATAATATTAACATTCTTCAAGTCACCTGGGGCTTCCCCACTGTTCTGAAATTGATTGATAATAAACATTAACCATCTGGATATGTCCTTAGTTGGTTCTTTTGAAACACTTACTTATAAGTTACCCAGACCTGGCAACTTAATATTGTTTGAGTTGAGCAGCAGTTGTTTTAACATCCTCCTTAGTTACTGGAATGGAAAGTATTTCAACATCATTATTGTCTGATCTGAATGCAGCATCTGGCTTTTTTCCCAAAGAGAGAACAGAAGTATTTTTTAGCACTTCTGCTTTTTCAGCATTATTATTGACAGGTCTATCATTTCCATTCATTGTGATGGCAATCTTAATTTGTTTTAGTGAAAGCCTTATTAGCTCATTTCAGAAAGATTAACAAATGTCAGCTGTTGATACTTTAAAGCACTGCATGCAGACTTCCATAGATGCAAAGTAAAATTAAGCTTAAAGTCCTTTTCAATAAATAAGTCTACTTATAAAAAAGAAAAGCTGTCTCAGAAATACTCAAGGAAATGCTGTTCCTGTCATTAAAGCAAGCTCATGGTACAATAAATCATGCAAAAAGTCAGATGTCTCATGAATTTAATTGAGGTTAAGTATGTATTGTTACACCAGTTTGCTATGTGAGGGATGGTAGTATTCAGCTGTAAATTATTCTTTGTCATTTTTGATTCGGGGACTCTTCAGACCCAAACATTTTATGCCAGTTTTTAAATTATCAGCTCTGATTAGGTATGTAGTTGTGTTTCTGCCAGCATTTACTGACATGTGTGTTGAACGCACATATGTTGTATTGCAGATGTCCCTTTCAGCTGTCAATTAAAAACACATTTGACAGATCTTTCATTTTTTTACAGAACTGTGAAATGATACCACAGTTTCAAAAACCATACTGACGTTTAATTTTATCAGTGAAACTGCCTAGATTATTGGGCACTGATTATGAATAACTATTTTCAATTGCTGCCAAATAGTTTTCATTACAGAATCGGTAGTAAAGAGATGTACAAGTAACGGTGTGGCAGAGGCCAGAAAGTACTTATTTGGTTTCATTCAGAAAAATAACTGTTGCTATTAACAAACATATAATAGGTGAGGTCAAGAGCCCAGTAAGATGAAACTCGAAAGGCAGAGCTCGTCTCTGCCCTAGCAGGTTGCAGATAATATTTGGGAACCAGCATGGGGCAGGGAAGTGAAATGGGATTCTGTGCAAGTAAGAAAGTGGAAGCACAGCCTGAACAAACTGTTTGCCTATCAACAGCTTCCTTGGACATGCCTGCCTCCCCTGGGCAAGGTGTACAACTCTGCCTTCTTCCCCCTTGCAAATATACAAGTTGGCACAGTGCCACTAACTCGGGCCATGGGTAGTAGTGCTTGAGATTTGAAGTAAAAGCTTCCATTAACCCTAAAAGATCATAATAGATTGAAATAATAATAATAATCCTGGAATATGCTGGGTATTGCATTGTGAGTTTTCATACTTGTCATGTCTTTCCTGGTCTGTGTTTTAGGAAAGAACCTACATAATTTACTGGAGATGACAGGAGAAAAAGTAAAATGATGTATTATCTCTTATGTCCATTCGGAACAATTAGTAGTGTTGTAAGACATGCAAAGTTAACTGGTTTTAGAAGTGAGAACTGTGTTTGGGGTTTAATTAATGCAGGAAAAAAATCTGTTTGAGGGAACTTCAAAGAGCTAATCAGATGCACTTTTCTTTCTTTTTAATTTGTAAGATCTGTTCCAGTCTGAGTCAGCATGGCAGATGCAGATGGCTTTCTTAGCAGATTTTTTGTCACTTTGAAGTTCACGGTTTTTAACTGGGGGAGGGAGAGAAGACTGGACAAAGCTCAAAACCAGCCACAAGCAGAGAATTACTTAGAAGTGAGGAAGGGTTTTTTTGATTGTTTTTTTTGATTTTTTTTAATCCCCCTCACTGATGTGCACAGTATCTTTATGGGTTATGGTTTTATCTGATAAGTAGAGGATAAGTCACCAAACACTCAAAGTAGGAGTTCATATAGGGTGTAGGGTGGTAAGCCTTGTTTAACATGATGAACATGTGGGGTTTAGTTCTCCTTTACAGAATGCCTTCTTTGTACTGCACCTGTATTATTTATTAGTCATATGTCCTGCAGTTGTGTAATGGGAAATACTGGAGCAAGCATTTCATTAACTGTGACACTGTTAATTGGTATTGCTTGCTGCCTGGAATTACTTTCCCTGTTTGAATACATGGAAGTATGAATCAGAGCTTAGTGAATTAGCCAGTGAGAGGAAGACAGGCATCTTTGCATGATAGGCTGTATGTATAGAGCAGCTGATCTCATTTGTCTTCCTGGACTGTGAAGTCCTCAGACTTAGATCACTGAAGTATTCAGAATGGTATATATATTTTCCATGATCACAATTTGTTATATCATTATGATTAAGCTTTGAAACTTCAGTGAGATATTTTGGGACAGACTTTTTCCAGAGGCTTATGACCGTTGTGAACATTTTTTTTTTTTCCTTGAGCTATTAATGCCTACCCTTTTAGGATATTTATACATTTAAATTCCTGGATACCTCTGGGCTCAGGAGCAGTGTTTTGCATCTTGTAGAAAACGCTTTCCATTCAGAAACAACAGTTCAACTCATTTTTTTCATGCACCCTGAAAATTTACTCTGAAGTGTTGAGCTGATATGCCTTCAAAGAATGTCACACCTATTACTGACACTAAGCTCTATGGGGAAATTAAGTGCCAAATTTCAGGGTTGATATTGATCGAAATTATTCATACTGGTGCTATAGCAGATATAGTATACACAGCAATTACAGTTCAAGAGCATAACGCTGTTGAAATCCCTTGAACGGTTACAGCTATTCTTGAGCAATAAAATTCTTTTCAAGGGACAGCCTAGTACAATGCAACTTTGTAGAATGAGTTGTGAAATTTTCTTTTCATTTGCCACATAAAGTGCCAAATAAATGTTTGCAATAAAAATACAAGCCTGGGAAGAACGTGTTTTGCCAATTACAGCATAATGTGGGCTACAAAGAAGCGTTCAGAATGGAGTTCAGTATGGATGTTAGGATCAGGTTACAGCAGGGAAAAAGAGGGCATTAATTTGCCAAACAACTGCTAGGATTTTATCCCGCATTTGCAAGGAAAATCGTTGCCTTTGGAAGAAAAAAAAAAAGAGATGGGGCTCGTTCTGTGCAAGCTGAATGTGGAGAGGAGAAGCAGGCAGTCTTTGCTTGGCAGGCAAGCAGAGCACCAGGACTGCAGAACACAGATTGATGGTTGCCGATCCGCTCTGTGTGGTTGCCACATTTAGCTTCTCCAGTTGGCCAGCACCAGCGGGGGGGCACAGAGTGGGATTAAAGCTTTCGGAGCAGAAGTGGTACAAGCCACACTGGGCCCGGTGGTGACAATTTAAGGGGCCCTTTCTCCTGTTGCTCAAGAGCTCGCATGATTCACCCTGTTCCCTTTTTCTGAGTTTCAGATCACAGAAAACCGAGTTATTTTTCAGCATAACTTTTACTTCAGCCTAAAGTTAGATACCGAAACACTGTGCCTGTAACTACAGCTTCGCTCAGCCTGACAATGCTCTCCCACTTTTTAGTGGCAGTGTTTGCCGAAAACATGCAGAATGTGGACCATCGTGTTCTTTACTTCTTCTTGGGCCGTTTTCTGCCTTCTTTTGCTTAAAAACCACCTGCTCCGCGGAGATGGCAAAGTGTCTCATTCACATGAAATCAGCGCGCAGCAGCTAGCCAAGAGGCAGTGGCGTGTGTGAGTGAGAGGGGATCCTTTGCAGCCTTTATATACCAGAGTTATTTTTAACCACAGCCTCCATGCTTATTACAGTGTTTCCTCTCTCAGACGCTCAGGAAGCCCACTTGGCTCTGTTTCCTGCTAACATGCGGCCCTGGCTCGCAAAATCTCTGAGAACAACAGGCCTGAGACTGCTCGGCTCCATTAAAAAAACTGGCAACTTTTCAAGCCCTGACAGAAAACCTTTGAAAGCTCTGGATTTCCTCCAGCTAACGTATGAGGCTCCTACATCGGTGACAAATTAGACTGAAACAGCACAAAATGCTCCTATGTAAATAGCCCTTTTTTTTTTTTTTTTTTTCTGCGTTCACCCTTTTAATAGTTCAAACTTTATTTATAGTTATTTCTCGGGATGGAAAAAATATTTATATATATATATATATATTTTTTTTTCCCCAAAGATGGGTTCTAGTGAAATGTTTTCCTTGTTTGTTTGTTTGTTTTTTTCTTTTTCCTTCGAGATTTTTTGTGACGGTTTTCTTAGGCTCCAGGAGCAACCTTTCCTTCCTGGAAACCAGGACAAAATGGCTGTTGTGAGCTCTTCAGTAAAAGGCCCGTGTCCAGCGCTGAGTGCAGGTCTCCAACCGCTGCCATTCCACAACTATTAAATAATAGTTATAGCAGGCTCAACTGACTTCTGATTTCCTGAGAGACAGCAGAAGAGGTCAGTTGCACTTTATCGGTGCCTTTGCCCACGCGTTTCAGGCATAACTGTTAGTCTGCCATGGTTTATTTTTTCTTGGGACTTTTTGCTGCAATTCCAAAGGGACTGCTGCTTCCAAAAATGCCTCCACGTATCAGAATAGATGTGACCTTCAACACCGAGAATGCTATTTTCTCCTGAGTTTACATTTTACAATACACTAGGAAATCTTACCATCAAGCAACGTCTCATGTCTGTCAGTAAGAATGACCTGGAATCGTGGATAACTCCAGAACAGTGGAGCTAAGTGATTTTCTAATGTTCTAGGAGCATTTCCAGTAGTCTCATCATTATCTGAGTCATCAGCACCTTAAGGATTATTTGTGCACCCTAGGCATGAACAAGAACCATCTGTACCATCTACCTGGCCTCTCTAGACCAAGTATTTATTGAGACGCTGGAGGCACAAACATGATCATTGCAGGAGCAGGTTCACTGGCATGGGATGATTGCCCTGCCCTGCCCTAGCTGGGCAGTGATGTTCATTTATTCTCCCCATTTTAAACATTCACAGCCTGGGCATGTAGGCTAAGGAACTGGA